CCAATATATTCCAGTTCCACAAGAGCCTTCTGACTTCAGCTTGTAAATTATGCTTCCTTGGTTTGTGATTTCTCTTCTCGCGACTTCCTCAACCTACTTAGAGAGCTGCTACACAATGGGCGATTTTGCCAAAGAGGTTTAACAAAGTCTATTAAAAGGAGGACACTTTCTCAATAAATCTCACAGAACACATGTCAGCATGATCAAATAAAACATCAATATGATAGGTCTATCGTGTCTTATTAATGTACCCAAAGCCCTTCCTAATAAATCAATCTTGTCTCAATCATCTGAAACCCCATAGGCTCCTTATTTTAAAAAAGCAATTGATATCATTTGATATTGATTTTAGGCCACTTTAAAATGAATGCCTACGATGTCTTCCAACATTTTTGCACTTCCATTTGCTCTTTAAGTAATTTAAATACTTTTTTTTTTTCTTTAAGAAAAATGACATTATCTCACTATTTAAATGTGGGGCAAATAATTTTCAAGTATTATCTTCTAGTGGGTAAGGTAGGAAGATGCAGACCATCTCAGTTGATGCTTACCTTTGTCATATTACGTTCCCAGAGTTCTAGTAGTTGTAGAAATGGGAACAAGACAATAAAGTAAGCTTCGATATCTTAATACTAAGTTAGTATAGAAACTCCATATACTTGCAGGGAGATTTTAATTACTGTGTCTGGTGTTTGTTTAAGTCAGAGTCATTAGCTCTTATGTACAGACTATACTTTTCGAAGTTTCAAATACTAATCACAAAAGGGAAGAGAGCAATATCCTAGAAACTGCATTCAGTGTAAGAAATGAGCTTGACAAGACTAAGTTCATTACATGTAGAGGTAAACGAGTGGGAGAAACATACTTAGAAAGTTTTAAGTTATCACTATTTTATTAAATGTACATAAGTATATTGTGTATTATAATATGTTTTCTGAAAATATATAAGGAGAGTCATGACACATACCAAGGCAGGTAATATGTATGTTTAATTGGTCTTTAATTTGGAAATTTTTATTTCTGTATATAACAATTTGCAAGACTGCTCCATGGCAACAACAACAACAACAACAACAACAACAACAATAATAAAGCCACAGCATTTGTGCTGAATGGATTTTTTTGTAAGACAAACTCTAAAAAGGAAATAAATTTCTTGACAAAATCAGGGTCTATGCATGTATATTTTCTAGTTAATTTTTAGATTTTGCCCTTCTCTCTCTTTTTTTTGCACTTTCTAGGACTGATTCTTTCTAACCAAGATGGTCTCCATCTTTGCAGTACCTCCTCAGGCATGAAAAGGGATACAGCTTCAGGGACGGCTAGCAATTGAACTGGATCTACTCTGTAGCCAAGAGAGGTCTTAGTTACATGTGGCAAGCTTTTGCACTCCTCGTTTTAAAAAAATTAGTTTCTCTAATGTGTCCCTTGCTCTTACTCCAGATTTTTCCTATGTCTGTGATGGAGGAAAATAAGAAAAGATGCTCTGTAGCTTAATACTGAATCAAATTTTATCTAAATAATCTAATTCTAAGTTATACTTTGGTCAGAGACATGTTTATTTTCTACCTAATTATTGATTTCATAAAAAACTACTGGGGTTGAACTGGTAGATGTTATAAAAGAAAACTATTTAAGCCTTTTTGTAAACTTGTTTTTATCACTGGCTTGATTCTCACTCTTGGCTTATCACGCTACCTATTAACAAGCCAAAAGATTGATTTTGCAACAATCTCAGAAAATGTAAAAAAAAAAAAAAGAAAAAAGAAAAAAGAAAAAAGTGACACATAAAACAGTGAAAACCCAGAGAAGATATGTCAAATAAATGTTCTTGTATAAAATAATGCATACTGCAAGAAATAAAAATACAAAGGATAAATAAATGATTAGTATTACTTATGTGACTAGATACCATTATGGTGCTGATAAAGCAAAAATAAGAAGCTATAGACTGCCAGACTGCCTAGAGTATTTGCCTAGTCATAACTACTAGCGGGCGCAGCAAACTCCCCCTAGCCAAAATCAGTTTCTCACTAGTTCCCCCTGTACCCTTCTTCCTTCCCTGCCCATGGAAAAGAAAGACCTGCTAAGTATTTAATCTGTGTCCAGGAAATAAAGCTTTCATTTTACAACATAACCAAGTCCTAATAAAACAGTAGGGCGGTGGGAGAAACATAAACCTGAACCCTGAAGCAATGTTTTCAGCCAAGAATAAGACAAGGAAGGTATGAGCAATTTGTTTGAGCAGGAACTGACAAAATATCAACAAAGTGTGATGTGTCTGTGGAGCAGTGTGTGATAAATGTGAGGCAGCCGTAAACATGAGAAGACAATCCAATGGTGCTTTGTGCCCCCTTCCCCTCCTAGTTTTTTTCTTTAAATCCTCTCTCTCTTTTGGTGTATTAATATGGCCTGATCTAAGACGCTTACAAGTACACAGATATCATTGGGCTGGTGCTCTTCCCCTGGTGGCTATATCGGACACTTATTTATTTATTTGGACCTGATGCTGGTACTGCTGCTGGTTGCAGTGGTGCATTTTCTCTGGTGTACCCACACCCCTTCCATCACTCCCCTCAGTCTGCTATGAAAGCAGCACTGTTTTAATCATTGGTTCACATACTTAATAAAAGATACCCATGCCCTTAATGAAAAAGAATGCAGCTGATGGAATCTCTTCGGGTAGAGAAAGAGTAAATCCTTCTCCAGGCTGAGAGAGGCACCAGCAGACAGTTATTTTGCAGTGCACTGAATAGACAATTCACAGGGAAATGTTGAAGGCAGAGTGGAGTCGACCCCCAAGTGCAGTCCATTGCCCACATACTCTGTAATAAATAATCTTCTCACACCAGCCCAGCAGTGTGTGCAATGACATGCTGGGGCCAGGACACACACATTGGCAGGCAAACACATCCAACCGTGTCAAATTTTCATCACAATCATCAAATTAACTGATTTCCCCACATCACACTCCCCTACCCGGTGTGGCGTGAGCGCGCGCGCGTGCACGCACGCGCACACGCACACGCACACGCACACACTGAGACATGCAAGTTACTGAGAGGTGAAATGGGGTCTCTGAGAGGATGTTTCAGCAGAGATTAGAAAACCAAGTAATGTGTCTGCCAGCTCCCCGGTTACTTGTTGGAAGGTTGGGGTGTGAGCGGTGGGAAATGGGACGAGCCGGCGAAAGCAGGAAGAAAGGGCTGCCTGCCTTCTTGGGGATTCTGGCACATGACATATTGGAAATTTACATCCAACATAAAATACATAAAATTATTGCAAAATATTATAAGAAATATCTCTGCAAGGCCAGTTAGTTAATTCAGGAAAATTTTGTACACTACCTCTTTCATATTTATGAATATGCATAAATAAAATACAGTCCCGGTCTATATCCCGGAGGAGGATAGGAGACAGGATGCATTCCAAGAACTTGCTGAAAGATGGTTCATTGACCTCATTTAAATCCTCCAAAGGCCGATTGGTTTTTGCACGCCTATGTGTCTACATGTGTCATACTTTCAGATTCCTTTTACCCAGGGACAAATACGCTTGATCAACTTATCTTTCCCACAAATACACAAATGATGACAGAGGGTTTAGAGGTGGGCAAAGATTTAACAAGAAATCAAGAGTCACCTAGCTTTAAAAAACCCTACTGACCATTATTTCATATCTATTCTTCCTGAATCTCACACTCAAGCCACATCCTTATACTACTCACTTCAAAGCAATAATCTGCCTTATAGCCCCTGCCCACCCAGCACTAGAATGCCGCCTCTGCCTCCACTACCACCCTAAAGTGTGCTTCCCCATGCACTCCTACTCCAAATATTGTCATTTATTTCATAATCAGCATTATCCTCCCTTCTACAAAGCCCCTTCCTCCCTCCTCCAAAAGAGAGAGTCTAGGGAAAAGTGCACCCCAGTTCCCTAGCCACTCCGCATCCAAATCCAGTGATTTGCATAATCACAGTGTTTTCTGTGGTTTCCCTCCACTGCGGTCACAGGGGTTCTTACATTTCACGTGAAAGGATAATATTAATTACGGAAAGAAGTGGCAGAGAGCAGATGGAGAGGTAGGGAATGCAAGAGAAAATCCCTATCACTAAAGTGATAGGATGCATATATTTCTTTGCCGGGGGGAAAAAAAAAAGGAAAAGGAAAAGGAAATCATGCAGACTGAATAATAAAAAGTCGATTTTTTTTTCTTTTTTTGGATCAATTGGCTTTGAGTCTTTTAATTTTTCCCTTCCTCTCGCCCTCTTTTATCTTGGTTTATTTCATTCTTCTCATCTTTTTTATTTCTTTCTTTCTTTCTTGCCTACCCCCCCCCACCCCCAAATCTCAGACACAATCTCCTCTCTCTTCCTAGGTGAATGACACGTTTCACAACACATTTCCCCCCCGGGGATGTTATTGCAATGCACACGGTGCTGCCGCTGCTGCTGTTCTCGCCGTCTCGGTAGCTCGCTCCCAGACTCTCACTCACTTTTTAAAGACACAACGATATGATGATGGTGGGAAGAAGGAGAAAGAGAAAGGCAACCCGAAAAGCGGGAGGTTAAAGAGATGACAAGAGATGTAGAGGGTCGGTCAGGAGCGTGATGTGGGAGGTGGCAGGCGGGGTTGGTGGGAGGGTGGAATGTTCAGAGAGGCACAAGTTGCCAGCCAAAAGACGTGCGGGGGAGGTGGGGGGGTGGTGAGTGGAGGGGATGGAGAGTGAGAGATACAGGAAGAAGCTCAGGTGAATGAAAAGGCGAAAGGTGCCGCGTAAGGGGCTGACTGCTGGGAAAGCAGGGCTGAGCCAGCGCTAGAGATTCAAGGGGCTGGAGCAAACTGCCACTGCCCCCTGCCGCACCGGGGAGCAGGGGGAGGGGTGGAAATCTCTGGGGACTGAGGGATGACTGGAAGGGGGGAGTGGAAATATGGGGTGGAGTGGGGATGATGGGGAATGGGCGTGAAGTTGATGCTCCCCGCTGCGGGGCGGGGATTACCTTGTAGCAGGAGCCCGCAGACACTGTAGAAGCGGAGAACGGCGCTGCGTTTCCAAATCATGGTCCCTTCTTTAAAGGGTTGGGGAAGGAACGAAGGGGCAAGGAGATGCTGGTGAGCGGGGCACCAGAGTGCAAGGCTCCGCCGGTGTTCTCCTCGCGGCGCCCTCCGGACCCACGGTCCCTGCTGCCGCGGTGTTAGAACCCGCGAACACGGATCCGCGGTAGCAGAAGCGGCAGCGGCGAAGCACCCACAGAATAAGGTTTGGGTGGGCGAAATAGTTTCTTCTGCTCCTCCTCCTGCTGGTGGTGCAGCCGCGACAGCCCGCCTGCCAGGCACGGGTTCGGAGCTCGCCTTTCTCTCGGTGCTCACAGCAAGTCCCAGCGCCTGCCGGCGCTGCCTGAGCAGGTGGTGCAGGGACGCCGGAGTGTCGGAGAAGGTGCGGACTAGGGCTGCAAGGAGTGGGTAGGTCACGGAAGGGAGGGGCAGGGGGAGAGGGAAAGCATGCAAGCAGCAGCCGCCGCAAGCGCTCGGGGGGTCTCAGGGTTCTGAAGGGGAGGTGCCAGCGATGGAAGCAGAGCTAGTGGCAGTAGCGGCGGCCACGGTGGCAGCGGCGGCTCCGAGATGCTCGGGCTGCAGTAGCAGCAGTAGCAGCAGTGGCAGTGGCAGTGGCGGCGGCGGCGGCGGC